ACAATCAGAAAGTGATTTAGTGGTGTATAAATATTTGATTTCAATCTGGCTTGACAGGAATGCTTAATGCTTTCTAGTTACATTAGTATGGCCTAATCCATCTTATTTTACAACCCTCATAGTCAAGGGAATTAACAGGAAGGAGTTCTCTATTAGCCTCTAAGAAATACAGCTTTTAGGGAGGGATTGGGTTTTTTATTTTCAGCTCAACACAAATTTCAAGGAGAGGCTGTAAACATCAAGTAGGAAAGAAATGAGGAGAAGCAAAATGTGCATACTTAATTTGCGTGCTCCATGTACCTAATCTACTTGTGTGTGTCCATACAACTACCTGCTAATCACCAGTTAGTTGCATGGATGCACAGCAATAAAAGTATTACTACTGACAGAACTACCAGTCACCAGTATCAGAAGTTAAAGAATATAGTTAATGGGGCACAATTAATAGAACTTAGCACTTGTTCAGTTCAGGAAAAAGAAAGGTTATTTCCTTTTTATCCAAAAGGTAAATAATGACATGAAATTTTCTCTAGCTGAACAACAGTCCAAGTATTTTCAGGTCTCATAGAGAAGAGCCCAAACTCCAGAAAATCTTGCAGAGAGTAACTGGTCAGAATACAGGACTGATGACAGCCTCTGGAGCATCAGCAGTATGGTTGTCACGGTCAGCTCCTGAACAGACATGGCTTCTCTGCCAGCAGCAGCATCACATACCCAAATACAGTTACTTCTTCAAGAACAACAGAACTTGAAGTCAAACAATACAGCTCCAAAGACCAACATTGGTATGGTGAGATTGTACAGGCTTTAGACTGTAATCTGGATAAACATCCCAGGTGATATCCTATTGCTTTTGACATCATTGGTTCTATGATTTTACTGCAGAGAACATCTTTAACATTACAGTGTCATATTAGACAACTATTATCATTGACTGTATTTAGGTTTCAAAATCAATTAATTGCAGCCATAAGCATTGGTAAGACCGGTGGAAAGACTTACCATTTCAGCACATGAAATCCTCATCTCACCAGAGAATATGGCACAATAGAGAACTCCCTTATTCTCTTATCCCCATTGAAGGTGGGGGGTCTGGATAAAAAGGTCAACTGCCTTTCAGCCCAAAAGGCCAAATTCAGCTTCACAAAAACAGCCAGTGAAGATCACAGTGTACCCTCTATTAATTCTCAGAGCTATCTCAAATCATTTCATTGACATAAAGCCAGATCAGCCTTTGTGATTTATGGGACTTTTGCTCAATTTCAAATAGTTATTGGTATCATTACTTACAGTTTGTCTGAGAGTTTTCCTGAACAAGTTTCCTTAAAATCTCTAACCATGATCTTAATCTCATCACCTTGCATACTAAAAGAATAAAATTCATTTTCTTAAAAACATTTCACACAAATTAACTGCCTTTTCTATTAAGCACCTTTCACTGACTAGAGCAGAAAAACAAATTGTAAATAAGCTAGACTTCTGAAATGAAAGTGTTATCACACAAATTATAATGCATGAAAGCAAGAATGATATCCATCATCTAGTATCTTACCTCAAGGTACTGGCTTTTTAAAATTCTTTTAAATACAATCACTTATAATTCTCTAAAGTACTATTTCAAAAGACCATAAAAAGCATTTATGTTCTCCTTGTTGCTGCTTTTTAAAGTATGAAGTATATTATCAGCTGGACTACTTTTAAGTTTTGAATCTGCTGGCAGGAAGAGAACAAAAAATAGGGGAAAAAAAAAGAAAAAAAATTCTACTTCTAGTTAAAATTTAGTTATGAACTAAAAAGCTTTTTAAAACAAATCATACACAGAAGTACTTGAGGAGTAGAATTGCCATGCTTTTCAAAACTTTTGGTCTTTCATGTTGCTGTCATTTGATCATCGGCATGCTTATGGCATTAAATAGTACAAAAAACATTTTTAGGCTTACTCGGCACTCAACTGCATATGCAACTTATCACAACTAAAGCAGGTAAGTGTCGGTCAGAACTGCAGCAATTTGGGAAAACCATTCAAATGTGCATAGAGAATACTCCAACAACTTCAAATTTAAAAAAGGAAAAAAAAATAAATAACATGAACATTTCAGTACCAGATTTTTTTTTCCACCACATTTTTGTCAGAGATAGTTTTATTTAATACGCTAGATATGCCTGGGCACAAAGAGAATCAGTATAATGAACATAACAGATTTGTGTTGTTTTGTTTTTATTCAGACTTCCAGATACCCTTGCTAGATTGGATCTAAAGGGAAATGACATAGAAGATGTTGGAGAACAAGAACTGAAGGACTTGAAGCAGCTTCAGGTTTTAAATTTAAGGAACAACAAGATATCCGCCTTGGATCGCAAAGTCGTAGAGTATTTACCTCGTCTCCGGCATCTCTATTTAGATGGAAACCCTTGGAATTGCACCTGTGACCTTCTGAGGACCAGAGGAGTGTTAATGGCCAAAGGAACGGATGTCAGGGGAGGACAGTGTGCAGCACCAGCAGAACGCCGAGGAGAAAGCTGGATGTCTTCCAAAAAGATTCTGCAGCAGTGTGAAGATAATTTGTCTTCCACAGAAAAAGGCAAGGAGGACAGAAAGAAAATGAAACCCAACGAGGCCTCCAGTGTTGCAGTAAATATAGATGATGATGACTACGATTATGAACTAGATTAAAGCCATGGTTAATGTATCATGAATGTTAAAGCTGTCTAGAGCTGCCCACCACCACCAGTATCCCAAATGACAACCAACTTGCTGTGTTGCCATTAAATTTTCCTCTTTAATGTGTGCTATAAATGCTAATAGCTGGTGACAAAGGGGCTCTAATAAGGATGCCATTATAAACTGAAATTTGTAAAAATAACAGCTGTTTTGCCATTAGTACTATGTAGCTTGAAGTAAATAAGAATAAAATTACTGTCTCTTAGAAAAGCACTCTGTAACTCTGTATGGACTTTTTAATAGTAAAGCATTCTTATAGTTCCATTAAAAAAAAAAAAAAAGAAAGAAAACAGAAAGAAAATCCTGCAATACCAAATGGTATCATTATCTGCAGTGTGGTGTTCAATACACTTAAACTCAGTTCAGGATGGAGAGTAACATCAGTGTAGTCAATTCCTCATGACTATTTGGAGGTTCTTGCTTTTGACGTGTTAATTTCAGTTTTCCAGAAATATTTGCCTGACAATTTTATAAAATCATATAATCATAGAATCACAAGGTTGGAAACGACTTGCACACTACAAGTGCCCCTTTTACTGGTGGGAACCTTCTAGACTTTTGCTACACAAAAGGGCTTCATGGTGTATGCATCAAATCTGATATATGTGCAAATTTTATCAGGCAGTTCTCAAAGCGCTTGAAAATTAAACAAAATTGGAATACCCAGACCACTAAAACCAGAGAATTACAAACAGTAATCTAAGGGGCTTCCTGACAGTTCATAAATCTCAGCTGATAAGTGAGGACTAAGCACACCAGCAAATTACTTTTCAAAGCAAACAGTTTCTATTATTCTTTATCTTCTGTTGGCATTCCGTAACTGAATAATCACTCACATTCATTGCGCCTGTTTTGTCGGGTGTCAGAGCGCAGCTGTGGGACCACAGCACCTCTGCAGAATCCATTGGCACTTGTGTTTCTTAACACACTAAGCAGTGTAAGTTAGAGAGGCTGACATTATTTTTTCTTTACATTTTAACTTTTGATCATGTCATCAGCTACAATTGTTGGTAGATAAAGATTTAGATGTTTATGGAACAGCACAAGCTTCCTAGCAGTTTGAATGCGTTGTTTTTATGGCTAATAATGGTTTGAGAAAGGTTTTCTTGATAAGAGAAGCTATCTTCACACTACAGTACTTTTCATTTAGTTCTATAATGATGGCACACTCTCCCTTGTCACTTCAGCACTTCATTTGCACACAAAGCTGGAAGGCTCTTGCACGGGAATGGGAATCTGCACTTTATTGGCTATGCACAGCTACAAGCCGAGACATAAAACCTCTCCTCTATCTCAGCCAGATAGAGGCACCACACTACACTACTCACGGGTTCAAAGAACGGCAACAAAGCTGGTGAGGAGTCTGGAGCACAGACCTTATGAGGAACAACTGAAGGAGCTGGGATTGTTCAGTCTGGAGAAGAGGAGGCTCAGGGCAGACCTTATTGCTCTCTGTAACTGCCTGAAGGGAGGTTACACTGAGCTGGGAGTTGGCCTCGACTCTCGTGTAACTAGTGGTAGAACTAGAGGGAATGGCTTCAAGCTAAGCCAGGGGATATCTAATCTGGACTTTAGGAAATACTACTTCTCTGAAAGAGTGGTCAGGCACTGGAATGGGCTGCCCAGGGAGGTGGTGGAGTCACCGACCCTGGAGGTGTTCAAGGAACGTTTGGATTTCGTGTCAAGGGACATGGTTTAGTGAGAGCTGTTGGTGACAGGTGGATGGTTGGACTGGATGACCTTTTAGGTCTTTTTCAACCTTGGTGATTCTGTGACTCTGTGACTAGAACGAGGCTGCCCCTGCAGACCCGAACATGGCCCTCCTACTGGGGGCAGCCAAAGCGGCCACTGCTCACACGACGAAGGCGTAGGGGCAGAACGAGACACGCCGCACGTCCCAGACGGGTGAAGCACAGCAGAGTAACGCCGCCCTGACCCCGCCACGCCCCTACGCCGCCAGTGAGGCGTAACCCCAGCCCGCCGCGCCCCTCCCTGTCCCTCCCCGTCCCTCCGCACCCCTCCCGGCCTGTTCCCTTACGGCCACGTCATTCGCTCGCCGTGGGCGGAAGTGGCGTCAGCTCGCCGGGCAGCCAACGGGCGCCGCGCATGTGGCTGGGTGAGAGGTGAAAGATCAGGCGGGGCGGCAGAAAGATGGCGGTGCGGGCGGCAGGCGCCGGGCGAGAGACGCGGACTCTGTGAGGCGCGCGAAGCGATGGCGCGGCGTGCGGCACGCTGCGGCTGAAGGCGGCCGTCGCGGGCCGTGCGCGGAGCGCTCCCCATGAGCGCGGTGGGGGGCCTGGCGTGGCGCGCGCTGCACGCCCTGCTGCGCGCGTTGCTCTGTCTGCAGCGCGCGCTGCTGGCCGCGCCCCGCGCCTGGCTCCGGCGCCGCGCCGCTGCATCCTGCGCCTTGCTGGGCCCCGCCGCCCGCGCCCTCGCCTTCCCCGGCGCGGCCCGCGGGGGCCGGCGGCCCGCTAGGAGGCGGCCCGGGGTTCGAGCCAGGGGCCGCGCGGACGGGCGGGTCCGCCAGAAGCTGCCGCTGCACGTGGCGCTGGTGGTGACCGAGGAGGAGCTGAGCTACGCGGACATGGCCAGCCTGGTGGTGTGGTGCATGGCGGTGGGCATCTCCTACGTCAGCGTCTACGACCACAATGGTGAGTGGCGGGAGTGCACCCGTTATGGGGGGGGGGGGGGGAAGGGGGAAGAAGGGGGGGTTGGAGGGGCCCGGGGGCAGGGGTGGGGGGGCGGGCTGGCCTGCCCACGGCGGGGATTGGGGTTGGATGCGCTCTGAGGTCCCTTTGCTACGAACCGTTCTGTATCATTCAGTGCTTTCCTGTTGAGGAGGCGAAGCCAACTACGTGCGATAATCTCAGCTGATGGATAATCTCTGAGACTGCGGGAGCCAGCAGCTGGGGAGGGCTAATCACATCCAAGGTGTGCTGCGTGCTGTGCTGCTGCCCTCTCTAAGGACGAAGCTTCCTGCTGCTGGTCTGGCAGTGCTTATAATGCCTCTCAGAGATACTAGGGAAGGCTAAGGTTCAGCTGCTGTTTCGAATCTCTTCTGAGGGCTGTCGAGATGTTATGCAGACTGGATTAGCTCTGTAGATCTGTGAGTGATTAGGGGTGTTGTCTGCACTATGTGTCTTCTGGTGGTCTTTCAAGAAAAGCTCAGTAGTGCCTTCTACCAGAGTAGGTAGCATCTGATGTGGTCAAAGATATGGAACTTAGAGCTGTGGTGGCCTTACATTTATCATGGGTATGTGTGGTTTTTAGAACTACTGCCATTGATGTTGTTGTTGCATTTCTGGTCCCTCATAGATAATGCAAGACCCAGACTTTTGCAAAATCTTGTAAGGTCTTTCTAAGAAACTGTGCTTAGCACCAGTCCCGTATCAGTTTAAATTGACCTGTGTACAGCTGTTGCAGAACTTTGTTATGCTGTGTTTCAGTGGGAGAATACTTCCTCCTTTGGAGGTTGAAGAGTCTTCTAAATATTTGCACAACGCTTTGAGGATACACTGCCTACTGGAAAGTCATTAGTGTGTTGATGGTTTTGCTCTCAGTTGCAAAAGAATGCAGCCAGATGAAATGCTACAGAGCAAGCATTGGTGCTACACAAAAGTTTCCCTTGTGGCCTGAAGAGGAGAACTTGATTGTATAGTCCTTGTATTTTCTGTCAGTCCTCAAGCAAATTGTCTGCTATGTTCTCCAATTTTGTGTACTTATGTTTAATTTCTTTTTAGATCTCTGCATTGTACTGCAAAAATATTTACCTGAACTGAGGAACAGATCCATTTGAAAGCTATATTTCTTGTTGCTATGGATTTTCATATTTGAATGGTTGCAGGGTGAACCTCACTGAGGAGGGGTAGGCAAGCATAGATACTGTCACTGGTCCTGTCTGTAAGGGTGAAACCAGCATTCAGCTTGTCTGTTTCCACTAATAGCAGAGTTACTTCTGCTTCTCTGGAACACATGCTGGGATCCAGTCAGACCTGGGGCTGACTGGTACAAGGCTGTGCACGTGATAAACAGAAATGATGTGGCTGTCCTCTGAGGAGTGGTGTAGATGAAGTAACCTTGCAGAATGATTGTCAGCTGCTCAGAAAAACTATTTTGAGTGGAGATCAGTATGAGCATAACTAATATATGGAAATAATAGTCAAAGTTGTGTGCTGATAAGCTTTAATACCCTTAAGCTTGAAAATAGAGCAATGATATCATGACTTTAAAATGAAGAAATGTTTTATCCGTAGTTAATTTTATTAGTGCTTAGATATCAGAATATACCAGTTTAATTATCAGCTTGAATTCTGATTTATTGGCACATAACTGATGAAGGCAAGCCTTAACCCACAGCAACTATGTGGTTTAAATCATTAGCTATTGCCAGATTTCATACTTTGAGACAAACCTGCTGTTATACATCCATGTTCTTTACAGATATTCAGTGCATTTTCTGGGATACCAGCCATGTCTGCTTTCTGCACAGAGCCTTTTAAGTTGATGTCATTGAGTTCTGAGCAACTAGTCATTCAAATGGCTTGAGTACACATTTCTGGAAGTAGCAGATACATTACCTTTCTCTTGGCGCTGAGCTCCTTACTGTATCTGGATTGAGCACAGAGCACTTCCAAATAGGCCTGTAGCTGCATAGGACATTGTAGTACCCTGCAGTCTTATTGCTAAATGCAGTTCTGAACCATAGTCGTGTCTGGAACCCTCAGCAGAGTATTAGTAAGTGAAGGTAAAAAAAGACATGTACAACTTCCTGTTATCAGTAGCAGAGGGTGAACTTTAATTATGCTTTGCTTGTTATTATAGTAGGTAAGGGTTACTTCTGGTATGCTGATCTGCTTCAGTGAGATCCTGTGCTCATACAGTTGTACTTGCTATTGACTTAGCGAAAATGTGTTGTCAATGCTGCTACTGGCTCTGGTGGAAAAGGAAAAAAGGTGATTTCTTCTTCACTGGAGGTAGTGGAGTACGCTTGGATTCCTCTTCTTTCACTACTTTTGTGTGACAGTGAGATTCTGCTCATTAAAACAGAAGACTTTGGTTACAGAAATGCTCTTCCACGCTTGTGTTTTCTGGAAGGAAATGTCTACTTCAGTTTCCTGTAGAATGTTAAAATGTGACCTTAATTGGGCTGTCTACAGGAAAAAGGGAGAAATGTGACATTCTTCCAAGAGGAAGTACCATATAAGCTTTTTTTTTTTTTTTTTTTTATAGTAGTGAAATTCTGAGGTTTTCATAAGCTAATTGAAGGGAAGATTGGTTCTGTATTCTTAGCTCTTCAAAATGAGTAACCACCCCAGCTGATCCAGGCATAATGTAACAACTGCACTAGTAACTCTGAAGGCAACTTGGCTGAAGTTAGATGTTCTCATGGGCAATTACAAGAAAACTCAGTATGTTTATGAATACATTGAACAATAACTGTAGAACCTCATCAGGTACTTGACTATCTTCTCTGAATCTGAAGGTCAGTAATCTAAAAGGTTGAAGTAAGAGTACATAATGTAGGAAGACTTCAAGATAAGTAACTGTCTTGTACTGTAATAAACATGGTGTGATATGACTTGCAGTACTCAGGTGTCTTTCCCAATCTGGGGCTATAGTGGCATTCTTGTGGTGTCTGGTGGTTAGGGGCCTTTTTCTTTCTCCCACATATCGAAATATTTTCCAAATATGCAGCAAAAGTCTAATGAGGTTTATGGTGTGCTTGTGTGCCTGAGTTATTTAATTTAAGTTTATTTAAATATAGGCTTTGCTCAAGGATTTGTTTTTTGTAGGCTTATGGCTTTCCAATTGTATTCATTGGTAACAGCCAAGCTGTGCTAGTAGAGATGTTATCTCAGAGGAAATAACTCAGCCTTCTCACACTTGAAGATTACAGCTGCAACTGCCTTTCACCACTGTTAAATGTTTTGAACTTGTTTTGTTATTTTGCTAGTCATAGGACATTGAGTGTTACTTCTGTTCATAGTGAAGCTTTCCTGAAGTGGTGTGGGACAAGGATAGAGCAATTTCAGGAGGCTTGCAGTCTCTTGGCATCTGAATGCTTTGGGTTCCTGAAGAGATGCTTCTGGTTGGAGTGTTGTTAAAAGCCTCGAGTAGTGCTTTGTTGGACTTGAGTTTTTCTATCCTGGGTTTAGCTTTCTGGGGAGCTGTTTTACTTCTAGGCAATTTCTCTTTAAGAAATTCTTTGAAATAATAAGGTACAGTAATAATAAAAAGAAATCATTTAATGAGCTGCAGGCTAGGCTTTTAGGCTCTTCTGGATTATTTGGTAGTTTAGTTGGTCTGATTAACTTACAAAACTGAATATTTGGCATACTTTCATGAAAAGGGAGTTAAGTATGTTGTGGCTTTGTGTTACTGGAGTGCATTTGTGTCACACTGAATCTGCTATGGGTTTTCTAATTCTATGAAACTTGGCATTCGTCAGCTGTTCTGGAGTTCATTAGGTAGAGTCTCTAGACTGCGTGTTTAATGTGGTCTAAAGCCAGTCTATACATACTTATAGGTAGTATGGAAGTAGCAGTGCTTTTTCTCTTGATTACTAGTGAATTCGTGCAGGGATGTTCTGTACTAGAACAGGAGCTGTGGGAGGAGTGGTCACTGAATTCTGATTCTGAATTCTTTCTGTTTGCTAGCTGTAGCTTCAGTAGCTCTAACTAGCTAAAGTTAGAGCTCTAGTTAGAGCTAGAATGAAATTTAAGTGACTTCAGCTGTTTTCAAACTTTGTTTATATATTTTTCAGGACTTCTGGAATATATGTCGTTTTCTTGTGCTCAGTGTCCTGTAAGGTACAATGCAACACAAACCTTACTTTAAGTTCAACTTTAACATGTCCAGTTTTGGGCCCCTCACTGCAAGAAAGACATTGAGGCCCTGGAACGTGTTCAAAGGAGGGCAACAAAGTTGGTGAGGGGTCTGGAACACAGGCCATATGAGGAGAGGCTGAAGGAGCTGGGAATGTTCAGCCTGGAGAAGAGGAGGCTCAGGGGAGACCTCATTGCTCTCTATAACTTCCTGAAGGGAGGTTGTGGTGAGCTGGGGGTCGGCCTCTTCTCTCGTGTCATTAGTGATAGGACCAGGGGGAATGGCTTCAAGCTACGGCAGGGGAGATTCAGGCTGGACATGAGGAAGTATTACTTTTCAGGAAGGGTGGTCAGGCACTGGAACGGACTGCCCAGGGAGGTGGTGGAGTCACCGACCCTGGGGGTGTTCAAGGAAAGACTGGATGTTGTGTTGAGGGACATGGTTTAGTGGGAGCTATTGGGAATAGGTGAGCGGTTGGACTGGGTGATCTTTTAGGTCTTTTCCAACCTTGGTGATTCTGTGATTCTATAAGACAGATATGGAGACCCTGGAGCTTGTCCAGAGAAGGGCAATGAAGCTGTGAAGGGTCTGGAGCATAAGTCTGAGGAGTGTCTGAGGGAACTGGAATTGTTTCCTGTGTAGAAGAGGAGGCTCAGGGGTGACCTTATTGCACTCTACAACTAGTTGAAAGCATGTTGTGGTGAGTTGGGAATTGGCTGCTTTTTCTGTATAACTAGCGATAGGACTAGAGGGAATGGCCTGAAGTTGTGCCATTGAGATTCAAGTTGGACATCAGGACAAACTTGTTCTCTCAACGAGTTGTTGGGTGCTCAAACAAGTAGCTTAGGGAGGCTGTGGAGTCACTGTGTCTGGAGGTGTTCAAGAGACATCTAGATGTTGTACTAAAGGAAATGATTAGTGCAGAAATATTAGTGGTAGGTGAACAGTAGGACTGGATGATCTTGTAGGACTTTTCAACCTCAGTGACTGACTTTAAACTGCAGCCAATGTGATCCAACATAAGGATGCAGGTTTTCATGTGTTAAAACAGTTTATTGAATGTATGTTTTATGAACTGAGTTATGAGTTGATATTTCTCAAGCTGGTTATAGTTGCAACAAGCCTGTTCTGAGTGAGCTGGCACTGAAAGAGTTGAGAAAGCAAATGACTGGAATGCTATGGAAATGTGTTCTTTCATAGGCTTAGGTTTGGTGAGGTTTTCTCTTGTAAGGAAGAGACAGTTTTTCTCCTGTGATTGCTTTCTTCTGTCATGGTTTAAATAGCAGGGCAAATGAGAACATTGAACTGTAAGATGCTACCAGTCCATGGGCAGGTGTTGGTTTTGGCAGTCTGGCCTGACAGATGAGTGGCTGACACCACCTGGTGTTCTGTATGACAGTGGTTTCTATGATTTGACTTGTTTGAACTGATTTATCAAGTTTCTTGTACACCTGCAGACTTCTGCTTACATGCTGCATTGTCAGTCTCTAACCTTTAAGTTCTGCAACACCTCAATTAACTACAAATGGGCAAGGCTTGTAACTATTCCAAAGCAGAGCAAAAGGTATGAAATAAAGAATCATGTAATGGAGGACTAATGCAGAAAGCTGACTGCTCTGGTTTGCCTCAGTTGTAGTGTTGCTGGGAACTAATTATCAGTGGTGTACTTGCAGCTTGTGTTGTGAAAAGAAGAGAGATACCTAGAAATAGATAACAGGTTCTCTGGTGTATTTTTTTTTAATAAACAAAGGTTTTATACTCCATGGCTTTTGGAATGGTGATGCTTAAGTGTGTACAATCCTTGAAATACGCATTTTTATGAGTTTGCTTTTAGAAACAAAGTAATAGTAGAACACAAATGTGAAATTTTCACTGCATCAGGAACAGGAATGCTGCATTCTTCCTTGCTTAACAGCAAACAGCATTTTCAGAGCTAGCTTGAATGTATTTTCAAATAAACTATAAAACTGCACCTTGTAGACAATCTGATATTTGAGATCTTTTAAGGGAAGAGTGGCGCATGTCTAAGCCACAGCCATATAAAATGATTTCTTCAAGTCAAATGAGTGTTTGGTCCATGTGTCTTTCTGCTATACAAAGCAGTGGTAAGGACAAGTCTCTTGTGCATTCAGTGAGAAACATTGCTCAGGGACAAGTTCTTAAATACCTCACTTAAAAAAGCATTCAGCTACCCTCTGATGAGCTTCAGGATCATCTCTGCAGGAGAAATGCAGGTGCATCAAGGATAATGGATCAGTTGGAATTGTGATTTGGAGGTCTTTCTCAGAAAGTTGGGCTAGAAATGCACAATACAACTACTGTGGCTTAGTTTGTTACACTGCTGTTACAGGAATGAAACAGGATCCAGTTCTGAACAGCTGTATAAGGCAAGTGAGCTAAACGAGAGTAGAAGCGAAATACTTGTGGTTTAAGTTTTCTAATGCTTCTGTCTATCATGCTTTCTGCCTTACTGATATTTGTTCATCTGTCAATGTGAGATCAATTATAAGTATCATTAATGTATGTAATGAAAGTTATTTTTTTTTGCAGGAGATATTCAGGATGAGAAGAAAAACTGATGGATTTATTACCTGTTAAGACATAGACTTATTAAAGTCTATATAAAACATAACTGCTAGTATAGTAAATGCATTGCATGTTTTCATGTAGGGGTGGGGAAAACACACTAATGTATTATGATCCTAACCTAATAATCTATGTTTATTCAGACTACTACTGATGTGGAAACTGGTGTATATGTAGCAGTTTCTAAACCTAGAATCAGGCTGAGGTGATAAATTGAATGACTGGAAGTTGTATGCAAGTTCAGTATTTCTTGAGTGGCGAGCTGATTGTGTGGACAGTTTTTAGACTGGTTTGCAGAAGTCCTTGCCATAAGATCTCTGAGTGAAACTTAAGCTCTTGGTAGCAACCCCTGAATCCAAATGATAAAAGCTGTATCAGTTCCTATGTAAATATGTGCATCTGTACTTTTTCATTGTAAAGTAAATATTTAGGCTTTAATGCTTAATTTTACTGTAGTTTTTGATTAGAAATAGTGTAGTGTAACTAAAAGCTAGAATTTTACAACAGCAATCCCAGCATGTTTGCTCAACCAAGTTTTTGTAGACTCCTGAACTCAAAATGTGCCAATGATAAGCATGCAAGTATGAAAAGACTGAGAACTGTATCAATTTATTGCATGATATAGCTTGTGAAATACTCTTATTAGGAAATCTTTGACATTGGCAATTGCATGAGTGGACAGTTGACCTGATGCACTGATTTAGTCGTCTTCTGGCTCAGTTCATGGTGAATTGTTTTGTTACATTTGTTAGATAACTTTACTAGTGTGTATGTAGTAAGTGAAAGCAGACGTCAGCAGCAAATCTACAGCAGTGTGGGGCAGAAAGGAAACTAGGTGTTACAGTGACATGATGGTCCTGTGCAGTTAGGATATTGCTGTCTCAAACTGTTGCTCAGCATGCTGAAGACAGCAAAGTGATTCTGTAGCCATCTCTTATGCAGCTGTGAATTGCTATTTGAACTAGGCTGTGTAAAAGAGGAACAGAAGCATGTGAGAGTTGTCTCCCTGTATATGCTTTTGCAAGGTCACTGGAGTTAGTCATGTGCAGTAGCATTTGCTTTTGATTCTTATCATACTTGCACATTCCAGTTTGAAGCCAGTACTGACCACTTGATTTTCTTCCCCCAACGCGGTGTCAGATTTATTTTTATAGCACTCTGTAGTATACAACTGACATCTAACTCTTTTTTAAGGTATTTTCAAGAGGAATAATTCAAGACTGATGGACGAAATTTTAAAACAGGAGCAAGAACTCTTAGGATTAGACTGCTCCAAATATACAGTGGAATTTGCTAATCAAGACAAAGCTGATCAAGGTAAGGTGAATTGAGAGTGGACAGAGACTAGTATGACTTTAGTTGTATACAGATCATAATTCTGCTTTTACTTAAACACATTTGTATGTATTATGACCTTTTCCTTCATTAACACCTGATTATCAGAACACATACAACATTCCTCTGTTAGTATTAAGCTTTCAATATCATTTTGCTTATAACTCATAGTGAGGTCTTGTTCTTCCCTGTGCCTAGGCATCATTACTGGGTAGTCCAGTCTGTTAGCAAAACTCTTGTGCCAGTGACCCCTTTAATGCATCAGTGTAGCTCAGCTTTCCACTGCTTGAGTGAAATTGTTTTGCTGAGAGACTTGAAAAAGGAAGGGAACTGATATTATGTTGGTGGTGCATTCAATTCTTCTGCGAACTTATACTTTACCTCAGAGTTGAAAGAGCAGAACTTTTGGTTATCATGTTAATGTGTAACAAAGAATGCAAAGAAGATACAGAATACTAATCTGTCAGTATTGGTATGTCAGTTTAAAGACTGTTTCTCTGTATTAAAAATGGATCAAATATTCTCAGGTTTTTTTTTTGTGGTGGCCTTTCATAGATTGAGTGTGGCTGTTCTGATGTGTCTTCAAAAGAACACAAAATAAAATTGTAAGCAGTTAGATTCATTACTGACATAAGTTGTGTATTTTAATATTAGTCTGCTTTGTAGTTAACCCAGTTACTTCAACCTGGGTTTAATACACCAGTTATTTGTAGCCTTTAGCTTCCTTGTTAAGTTTACCTCTTAGGTACTTTATCCTGCCTCACAATAGCATTGGCATCCATGAGATTATGCCTGTGATTTAAGAGGCTATTTTACAACAATTACAGTTCAGTGGACAAATTCTGATAGTGTTACATAGTTCCTACCTTCTCTGTATTCAGTAATCTTAGATCAGTGTTGCAGCATCACTTTTGGAGTGCTGTGGAAATTCTGTAACCATATTTGGGGAGAGTTGTAGCTTAATCCTATTGTCAAATGAATGTTCAAAGTAGTTAAAGTACCTTCTTGTAAAGGATTAAGAATTAGGTCTTTCTACATTGGTTGCTGCACCCAGATCAGTAATTCAGTACCCAGTTCTTAGTGCTTTTCATGACTGCATTAGAACCTATACAAATTTCTCTGGAACAATTTGCATTTGAAGATTGACTCTTATTAAGCCATTCCTCACAGGCCTCCCTCTTCAAAATAGTTGCTTTAGGCTTGGTTTTTAGCAATAGCAAACCCAGAAGCTGCTTCTTACAACTTCTTTAACAGCTGAGTGATATATACGTAGGATTAGTTGTACCATATGTGAAATCATGTATTTTTTTTTGTCATACCCTATGAATACTTAAAGCACATTTAAAACTATTTCTGTTACTTCTAAACTATGTTTTGTACTTTCAGTTTTAAATTGCCAATCTACATTGAAGGTGCTGTCTCCAGAAGATGGAAAAGCAGACATAGTAAAAGCTGCTGAGAACTTTTGTCAGTTGGTAGCACAACAGCAAAGAACATATACAGACCTGGATGTGAATGTGTTAGACAACTTGTTAAGTAGTAAGTATTATATGGTCCCTCGGGAGAAGGGAAACATTACACAATTGATAACTAATTTCACTTCTTATATACTTACAACATGTATGTAGCATATCAGAATAAGTTATGCTGAGTGCCATCAAACACGCTCAAAACTCTTGCTGTTTTGCTGCTTAGATCTCTTTAAAGAAAAAGCTCCAAAGGAAACTCTAGTTGGAGAGTCTCATTTTTACAGAACTCACAAGCTTTGTGGAAAAAAAGTATTTCTGAGATAAGCTGAAACTAGACTTACAAGTAAGGTGAACTTCTTGCAAGCTAGCATGCTGCAAGCCTAGGTATGAGTGGTGAGTCTTCACAGGTTTAGTTACAGGAATTAAAACTGCCTAACTGTTGGCTCTGAGTTGAATGCAAATAATAGGGTACTTGCTGATCCTTTGCTGCTGTGTAACCCGTGTCAGTTATCTCCATTACTAATTCATACTAATTCATGAGATTACTGACTCTCTGCACTGAAGTTGCATGGCTACTTGCAATAGGTGTGAAAAGGGTGGGGCTGACTCCATGCCCTATGAGGGGGAAACAGCATTGTGAAAAGGAGCTGAAGTACTTGCTCAACTTCTCTAGATGATCAGTGCATATGAAGTACAACTGGGTTCAGGTTTCAGTTAGCGCAGTTCAACTTAGTTTTCTGCAGGCAAGCTGTGTGCCTGGTACACTGTTACAGTGTGGCTTTCATTAATTGGAGTCTAGAGAGATTTTCCTCTTCCCTCCCTCATCCCCTAAACAAGTGATCAGCTGAGTTGCAGAATGGATCCACTGCAGTGCAATGGGAGTTCAGACCCTTTAGTCTTAATCCCAAGTAAATTTTCACTTTTGAAGCATGTGGCATCTTATCTTACAGTAGTGGAGTTATTAAATGGTTATTTAGTATGACCCCTGAGGAAGCAACTTAGATGTCTAGCCTGTTATGCCCGAAGGAAATTTAAGAAAGTGGGTAATTGCTTCTGTAGATCAATTTCTCATTCTTGAAGAACTGGTGCCAATGATACCATTATACATATTCTGGCCATTTATGCTGAAGTAGAGTTCATCAAACACTTGTTCCTGATCTACTATCCTTGCATGTGTCTATTGTTCAAGTAATGCATGATAGCTGAGCACAAAAAAATCTGGATTTTTTTAGTCTGTTAAAATTGTAAACTTTCAAAACGTATTGTGTAACTGAAGTTAATATAACTCAATATAACTGAAGTTAATGTAACTGAAGTATTGTGTAACTGAAGATAATATCTATAATGAGTCCTGCTTACTAATCTGTTTGTTTTTAATGTCTTAGGACAGTTGGAAGAATTAGTCTTCCATAACTGACTTAGTTCACAAAACTACTCATTTTAGTTGTCATGTTTAGTTTCAGTGTTTGCTCAGTTGCAAAGTATTGAACAGAAATGCCTGAGTTGCTGATTTTAAATCCAGAAGAAATTCTGGAGAACAGTACTTAAAGCCCCAGGATTATTGCTATTTTATTCAGGAGATTTCTGTGAGCTGCTGACTTATTGCATGCTGATTTAAGTACATGGTAATATAGTTTTTTATAACTTCCTCATGTAGAATGTGCTTATTGAAGTCTGGTTTTAAAGTGATGGGGTTCTAACTTGTGTCATTTTAGATTCTTCATTCTTGCTTGAATTCTTACAGCCTAGGTTTTCCTCAGTGTGGCTGAGTATGTTGTTCTCAGCAAGCTTTCTTTCAGAAAAGTAGGTGCCAGCTGTGGTATAGTCATAGGATCATAGAATCACTCAGGTTGGAAAAGACCTTAAAGATCATTGAGTCCAACCATGACCTAACCATACTACCTGAACTCTTAACAACCCTCTGCTAAATCACATCCCTGAGCACCATATCCAATAATACCTCCACTTCCTGTCTCTGTTTCCAGTAATGAGTATGGTAATAATACTGTTCAAGTTGGACTAGTTAATCTGTGTGGAGAAGCTCTACGTAGATATCAGCTCTACAGATTCATTCATGTTTCCCTCATAAAACTCCTGACTTAAGAGAGATGTTGTGAGACTTCTTTTCCTTGAGTGTCTGAGCCTCCTCGCCTCCTCATGGATTCTGTTCCCAAGCCCTTCTATTTTTTGTGTGCTTGAAGAGTGCTTTCCTTCTGCTCTGAGGGAGTTTCCACATGCAAAGTATCTGTGGTATTGATGCATTTAGGTAGAGAAATTGGATGCAGGGTAGAAAGCACAGTACTGTATTTAAATAGGCTGTTCTGACAGTAATACTACACACTGTTCATTTTCCTTCTTCAGATAGGAGCCAGAAGGAAATATTAGAATTAACTGGGCTCTCTGAAGGTCTTTTCCTGTTTGAAAAAGTCATTGCAGTGTTGGAAGATCCTGCTGCTGAACTGGCCAGCTGAGGAGTACTCAGCTTCTGAATCAGCTGATGAGTAAAGCTGTCCACTTCCACCAGAATCCCCACTTCTAAGTATTTGCTGCTTCCCTGCAAAGCTGTTTCATACTAACATACTAGCTTACCAATAAATAAGCAGCTTCAGCTTTATACTTCTCTGTTCTTTGAGATAAGCTCTAAACTGTGGCTTTAGTGGAAATGCTGAGGAAAATAGCTTATTTGTCTCTGACAAAAATTTACTGTTGCAGTGATTCAGTGAGGAGGGAGGATATGAACTTTTTTGAAATCTTCAGCTTCAATTCTTGAACAGAGATAAAGGGGAAGAAATCATATGAGACCTTAGTTTTGTTTTGTTCTTCCTGATGTTAAGTTCTCTAAGTTTAAGCTAATATGTTTTTTTTAAAAAAAAAAAAAAAAAAAAAAAAAAAAACAACCACCTGAAGTTAGGAGCAGTAGGCAGCATTGAATTTTGCCATCTGCTAAAGGTAAGAATTACGCAGTGCAAGCACTCTTGCGTTAAAGTTGTGGAGTTAGGATAGTAGGAAGGGCAACAGGAAATATCATGGAGTAATCTTTGCTCATAGCAGCATTACAGCAAAGTAGGATTATGACTGCTGAAATGCTTTTCGAGGTGAGCTGGACAAGTGCATGAGGAACAGTTTATCTTTTTGGTCTCCTTGTGGTATTCTACTGTTTTCCACATGTTGTCTTAATAAATTTGCTGAAGTTAGCAGAGAAGGCTGGACTAAGACTGTTCATTCTAAGCATGTTGCCCACCTGTCAGTTCTAGTCTGTACTATTTCAGGTATGACAAATTGTACAGAAGGGGCTGCTAACTGTTGTCTTCCTTGAAAGGTCAGTAGGGAGCTCTCATGGTGAACAAGACAGCAAGCTACTGAAGACTTAATCAGCTTTTCTTAAAATGGGGAGAATTCCGAGTGCATAAACTGTAGTACTTGGTCTTCAGCTTTTTGGGGAGTGATATTTACTATCTTGAACAACTGTTTATATGCCCAGTTCCGGGGACTGGGTATAGATAATGAAATCATCACAGTGCAGATTAGACTAGTTGAACAATACTGGCTGAGGTTTTACAGTATGATGAAGAGTGTGGCTACCTAGTGAACTGTGTCATGTAGTTGTGCCCTGGGTGGATCATGTCTGCTTACTAACAAGAGAAATAAGGCAATTTTTTTTTTTTCTGCTCAACTAGGAAGATGTCAACTGCAACAGTTTGTCTGAAACTTTGTAGTAAAAATTTTTACATGTCTGTGTAGCTCTATTCTGAGCAATCTGGCAATTAATCTGGCAGTACTTCTTAAAAAGATATATTTTTTTTTTTAATGAAATGTCCTTGAGGTTTTTTTTTGTAGTGGCTCTTTTACTGTACTTGACAGTAAATCCCCATAGTTGAGACTACAGTAAGTATGTGTTGGGATGTAATATGTTCTGCTCTATTAAAATCAAGTTTGCCAAGACAAAGCTAGAACAAGTCAGCTTTTAACAGTACTGTTACGGTTTGCTGTTATTTAAAACAATCTAACTGTTCCCATCAGTGCCTTATCAAGTATTTGAAAACTAAAAGCATTCAATTGCAAAGCAGACGCCTTGAGACTTAAACAAATTTTATGGGGAGTTTGACAAAACCTAATTTAATTTGTTCTTACAGGTACAAGTGGATTTCCAGATCCTGATTTAGTCTTGAAGTTTGGTCCTGTGGACAGCACATTAGGGTTCCTTCCCTGGCACATCAGACTAACAGAGATCATGTGAGTTGTTTATAATTCCTGTGAAGTCTCTGTGACCTACCTAACAGAAATAGCTGTAAAAGGAAACATGTTTAAACAAAAATATCCAGAACTTGATGTCAGGGTTTGAGTTATTAAATAAGAACCTGTCATACTTCTGCATTGTTGCAACTTCAGTCATGGTGAGGCAACAGCAAACTTCTGTTACTTTTTATTCTCTGTGATCTGATCCAAGTTCAGTTGGTGTTCCTTAAATGGTTTCTAGTACCTTACAGCTTTCTGTGCCCTTTATATTGTTACGTTGTCCTATCAGGGAAACTAGATGATGCCTCTAGATTGCCATTCATCTTTAATAATTAAACTGACTGTAGTTGCTGTATTTCTTAAGTCTGAGAGCATTTATAAGGGCACTGAAAAACATGTCTGGACAGAACTGTTTCTCCAACTATTGCACAATGTGAAAGTGCCTTCTGTAACTTAATGGGCAGGTTTCCATTGAAAGGATGGCAGAATACTGACAGCAACTTAATTACTATGGAGTTGCATGAGGGCTACAGTATTGAGAAACTCCACCATGTTGCAAAGACAATAGCTTGCTTTCAGTAGACTGCTGGGCCATATAAATCACTGGTATTTATAAAAGCTTATTAACGTTTTCTATCTTGCTTTCTCAGTTCTTTGCCTTCCCACCAGAACATCAGCTATGAAGACTTTTTCTCTGCCCTCCATCGCTATGCAGCTTGTGAGCAACGGTGGGGAAAGTGACTTTGGGCTGAGCACACTGAGTTGTGCTTTCCATGGAAAGGAATTTGTCTGTTTACAACCACCTGTGACCCATAAGTCTGGTTCATAGTCCTTTCTTAATTTATCAACAAATTCAATAAAGTGTCTTACCTTTCTAAAGAGTCTGTGTGAATGTGTGAGAATCTGTGGGGAAGGGGAAATCTGCAGGTTTGCTTTATCATAAGACATTTATTGCAAGCAAAGCTCTGTACACCTGAATTGTCCTCACTTTTATGTCCTATGACCAGATCATGCAAGAACTTGTGTGAAATCCACAGGACAGTGTAGGTTAGAATATTATCCCCTTGAAGGTTCATGTCCCTCAGCTTTATTTCTTTCTAGTTCTTCATGGTCAGTATTTCAGAACCAATCACCTGATCTTGTATTTAGTATGTAATGTTTAAATTTTAGAAGTCTGTATTGGTTCTGTTAATAGCTTAATAGACTGCTACTTAGCTGTCAGGGCTAAGTCAGCAGTAGCTCTAGAAGTGTGAGAAGGTTCTATTAAAGAAGAATGGAAACTTCTGTGGTAAGTGGATTAGGCACTATGAATCACAGAAATAACAAGGTTGGAAAAAAAACCTACGAGATAATCCAGTCCAACCATCAATGGTATGCTTATTAATGCTCATACTATGCTTTTTTAAAAAAAAAAAATAAAAGTGAAAAAGCAAAATATTCCTACAGCTTTGAGTGATATTTCTATCATCAGGCCCATTTTCTATGGGAAATAAGTGTAGGCATCTGGAATTATAGAATTCTAACCTAAAGTGACAAGCTGGCTAAGGCTCTGGGCCCACCTGTGGGGGGGGGGGGGGGGGGAATCTGAAAACATGCTAGGTCAACTTCTGCAGCTGCTGCCACTTGCTTGTTGTGTCTGTGTGCCCAGCAGAGGAGTGCTTAAGCCTTCTGTTAGATTTATTTTGAGCTGAGAGTTAGAAGCTTGAGTGGTGTTTCACAACAAATGAGAAGTTCAAATAAAGCTGCACTAACAAGCAAGTACCTCAAATCTGAGAACGTAGCTAGAAACACTAGCTAAGGAGTCTTCATAGTGGAATGTCTTATTCTAGTTACACTGCATACTGAAAGTGCTTGGAAGTTAACTCATTGTAGCAGCATTTGGATGAATCAGTATCTTCAGAGCTGTGTTATTTGGATGTAAAAATGAGTGTTTCAACCTTCTGGCCAGCATGCTAAGAACTTCTAGATGCTTTGTTCTGGAAGTTTTTTTTTTTTTCCCCTTTACCTCTCCCCTTTTGGAAATGAGCCTGTATTTATTTTCTTCAGGATCTATCTGTCATCAGAAGGAAAAATTTCCTGGGGGAATTGCAAGACTTTAGAATACACAGTTTCACAAAGAAGGAAACCTAATTGTTGTAATAATGTTGTAAGAGTCTGCATAAGCTTAGCTGTAGGCTTTGGTTTGTTTCTGTCATGCTAAGATTAGATTTCAGTTATAAGAGATGGTTGTGGTCAATTTTATTTCATGAAAGAAAAACATGTTTAATCAGCTAACATTCTTAACATAAAGTGACATCCCATTAGAGCTAGAATATAGTTGGCTGCCCTTTACAGTTTGGTTTCTGATGTTTGCCAGTTGTTATATTGCAGAGAAGATGCAATGTTTCCTGGGTTTGCCTTTGCCACAGGAGTGGATTCTCACCAAGAGTTAAGCTTAACTTCTATTTGGTGAATGGGTAGCATGCTGGAGTGGAATCCTGAATATTGAAGGTTAACTGCACTATGTATTTGACTTTACCAATATGAAAGGTTGTGTGTAAATTACCGTGTATGCATGCTGGTATGTCACTAAAGCAGTTCTGGTGCTGGCAGTAGAGGGAGAAATGAGAAAAGTTTATTTCTCAAAAGCAATCTATTTTTTTGTGTGTGTGTTCAGCTGCCAAAGAATACTTATTTTATGTGAGCTGCTCTTGGTCCTCTGATTCCTGCGTATCTCTACTAACAAACCTTGTTTTCATTGTAGATTGATCTCAAAGTCTAGAACTTTTCTATGGAGGGATGTCTAATGAAACTAAAATGATTAGTTCAGCTGCATTTGATTCAGCTTATTCAAATCTCTTCTGATGGCTTGTTTAATTGTAAATGTCTATCCCAAAATTAATGGAGTTGAACTAATCCATGTTGGGATTATTTTTACTGTCCCTGTGTGGGCGATCCTCAGTGAGCTGTGCCAAACGCACTGTGTATCCACCACTTGGTCTCTGAATGTAAGTTGCTGCAGTTAGCACCTCCCCAGCTTGCTCTGTGCAATCTGTGGTATAGCTGTGATGTTCTGTATGGCTGTAGTCTCTGGGTACCTGTACATAGTGTGTAAAACAAATTTTATGATAAGGGAATCATTTTATTGAATTTTATTATTGGAAGTTAAATCTGAATCTGTAAAACAAGAAATCAATAAAAGATTATAATCTTTCTACAGCTTGTGGTGATACGTGAATACTTCTATACTGTAACCTTACACATACTGCTGCGTTGCTGAGAAAGTAGGGAACTTCACATTTCATGCCCTTTTTATACTATTCCTAAATTATTTGTTATATTGTAGGAACTAGGGATTTTTTTTTTTTCTGCTAACCACTCTCAACTTCTAAGAAGCTCTTTTGAAAGCTTTACTATTGAGAATGTTTATTATAGAACTGTTAGATAACCCTTGGAACATGCAAAACTCGTTCCTGGTTACTAAAGAGCTTGCTGCTTCTGGCCATGGCTGAGTCAGTACTGAGCTGGGATTCCAGATGTCACTGGTTTGGATCAAGGTCAAATTGGGGGCATGGAATAAGCATCTGCAGATGTGTTGGAAAGTGTCATTGGGAATCTTGGTGACCGTGAACCAGCTGTGGGCCATTGCTACAAAGACCAATGATCTGGGCTGTGCTGAGCGTTACCGGCAGGTCAAGGGAGGTGGTCCTTCACTGACATCTGGTGAGACATTGCAAATCCAGCAAGGGCTGTACTGTGAAATGGAGAAAAGTTATTTTAGAGAGGATCTTCACAGCAAACCATCTAAAAAGGCAAGAGGTCAGCATATGATACTTTAGCTGGTGCTTTAACTCGGAGGAAAGCAGTAGATGATTAAGCACAACTGGGACTGCTTGGCTCATTGCACATAACTGAAGGAGCGTGCTGGGTCCTGGCAGTGGTGAGTTTTCAGTAAGCCTGCAAATTAACACTTGGGTCTCAGAATCCCAGCTATATTCTTTACTCAGTTGTTTCACAGTAGAGGTTTTTCTTTGTTGCCTCTCAAAACACTTTTCAGGTTTGTTTGTTTTTTTTTTTCCACCTTCGTTACCCAGTGATATTGGCAGGCTGTTCCTTGGAAATGGAAGCTCCTGATAGGAAAACCGTAGCATTACTGAAGGTAACTGGTACACCCTAGATGATGCAAGTAAAACTACCAATGGACAGTGAATGCAGAGGAAATCCTGTGACTTCTTTCCACATTAGTTTACCCATAACTTCACAATTGCCAGCATTAAGCTGCTCATTGAAAATCAGTTTGTGTCTGGTGTGTACTGTGCTTCAAGAGGACAGGGCTCTCAGCTGGCTTTTTATAGTCAGTACAGCACCAGTGGCTCTCCATCTATAATGCAGTTAATATTCATTATTGAATGCAGTTAATATTCATTATTGAAATTGTAAACTAAGAGTTCACTGTATGGTGAAAATTCAACAAAAACCAAGTTCTAGCTCATGCTACACAAAACTTCTTGATGAGTGCTGCTGTGAAGGTTACAGTTTGTCCCATTTGCACCACACCATGAATGACTAAATAGCTTATAGCTATTTTCTAGGAGCTAAGCTGCTTTGATAAGCTTGAAATTCTAAGCCAAATGAATCAAAGGCCACACTTAAAACCTCTGCACAACTTTTCCCCTCAGATCTGACAAATTTAAACAGGGACTTTCAAGCACTTCATCTGCTGTATGTTCTTCTATTAAATACAAGGCCTCACTGAATTCTATTGAATCAATTTGTGGAGAGCCTTAGGATTGCTCCTTAATTGCATCCAAAACAACTTTTTCAGATGATGAATAACGTTATGTATTATAGAGATGCATGTCTCAGCCTTCACTTTGAAGCACTTCACAAATTAATGTTTAATGGAACTGTTTGCCTTGAGGTTTTTGCTGCACTATCTAGCTGGCTGAACATGAACACAAGCTGGGGCTGTTTCATCTCCCTGACAAGCTTTGCTGCTTTAATATGGCATGTGTTTTCTGGCTGTGTCAGTTTTCAGTACTTCTCTTGTGTTTGTCTCCTTGGTCTGCAAAAAAAGCTTAGGCCTCCCCTTGCAACAAAAACAACAGAAGCCTCTAATGGATCGATTGTTTAGGAAGCATTGTTTACAACCATGTTTACTTGAACTAAACCTTTGGCTGCTATGACAGATTTGTAATACAGCTTAAGTGAGCATTAGAGGTTTGGTAGCTGATAAACTAGAAGGAAAGGTTTGTCTTGCTCCTTGGCTGCAGGTGTTTATTGTAACTTTAATGGAAATTTTCTGATCCAGCTATCAAAGTCAAAAGCTTCCTGTGGGATTTTGGGTTCAGAAATTCTACAGAAGTCGCCTCTTGGTTGGTGAGGTGCCTACTAATTTCAAGAACACAAAGGCATCTGAAAAAGTGTCTGCTAACACCAGGATGTTTTTTGTTAATCTGATTTCATGAGCCGTTTTGCAACTGGCAGCTCTTGGGTGTGAAGGAAAGGCTGAGAAGTTTAGTTGTTCAGCCTGGAGAAGGCTCTGGGAAAAACTCATGTGCAGTCTTCCAGTACCTAAAGGGGGCTTCTAGGGAAGATGGGGTGACTTTTTAACCAGGGTCTGTAGTGACAGGACATAGCTTTAAACTAAAAGAGGGAAGAGATTTAGGTTAGAGATGTTAGGTGAAAATTCTTTATTCAGAGGTGGTGGGGCCCTGGCACAGGCTGCCCAGAGAAGCTGTGAGTGCTTCATCCCTGGAGGCACTCAAGGGGCAGGTTGGATGGAATCCTGGGCGGCCTGAGCTGGGGGTGGCAGCCCTGCCCACAGCAAGGGTTGGGGCTCAATGGGCTTTAAGATCCCATCCAACCCAAGCCATTCTGTGATTCTATGATTGTTCTTTGT